AACCCTAACCCTAACCCTGGTTTACACCACAGCAGCCCCAACACCAACGCACACAGCACAAGACAGCAGGTTGCGCACGCCACACCACCATGTACATACGCTATGTTGCTCCCTCCGTCTCTTACAGCCCCGCACACTCAGCAGCAGAGAGCCCTCTATAGCACGCTCACCCCATAGCACACCCGTCCAGCCATACACAACACGTAGCCACTCACCGTCAGGCCACACACACGCACCAGACGGAGCAGCGTCAGCGTCCCCCGCACGGTGCACAGCGGCAGGTTCCCCAGTTTGGGCCGCACTCGCAGCACTCCCAGAGCGGCTACCCCTAAGCCGTGGGAATCGCCATCGTCACACGTCTCCAGCAAGGTAACCGCTCACAAATGGACCACTACCCCCTGTACACGTTGCTCGCCTGCCTGCTCGCTCAGTAAAAGGTCCGGCTCTCATGCCGTGCAGTGGGCCGTGTTGTGTTCGGCGTGGCCAGGCCCTCGAGTCGACCACCACCACATATGGCACAGACATCGCCGCAACTGTCGCAGCCCTCGCCGTGTCATGCCTCTCCTTCGCGCGGGTGCTCTTTTCACCTCCGCTATCGTGGTGGCGTCCTCCCGTCCCGCAAGAAACTCCCGGCAAGAGTCAACTCCCTTTCGTACCCCTTTTTCGCCCCTGCTCGTCTCCTGTGCCTGTTGCCGTGCGATCGCCGAGGAAGCGGAGGGCTCATCACGTTAGAGCTGGCGCGGTGTGCCGACGGTTGAGCACGTGACGTTGCAACACTCCGCCGTTCAGCAGGAAGCCGCCGTTGCTGCTGCAGTTGCTTCTTCTTGGTGGGCAGCTGCCGCACCTTCTTTGGCCCCTCGCCACGGTGGAATGGTGCTGCAGCGGTAGACAGCGTCGCGTCCGGCACCCGAAGAGCCCGCCACACATCACCACGGCCACCGTTCTGCCTCTTCCACGGCGCCGGTGCTATTTCCTCGCAGAAGGAGTTCTTGCGCTAGATGCAGTGCTTCATCAGCACACTGCGCAGTTTCTCGAGGTAAGTAGTGCTACAACAGTTTGTGCTGCTTCGCGATGCATCAGCAGGCGACGCAGACACGCGGGCGAGTCGTGGCAGTCGACCATACGCACGTAAAGACGCACGACGACAAGCTGGTTGTCGCGCTCACGGTTGTGGATCCAAGAGCAGCGGCCAGCGACTTGGGTTGCTCAGAATGACAGCACTGTCGACGGAAAAGGGTCATTAGACAACTGCTGTAGTTTCCATTTGCTGAATTCTGATGGGGTTGCCGCGGAATCTGGCAGAGGCGGAGCTGGCGGGCACACGATGCCCCTGTTTCACGTGTCGCCCTCTCCGCCCTCTCCGCCCCCCCCCCTCCTCCCCCCCTCCCCCCCGCAGCCAAATCCCCCGCCCGCTTCAAGAAAGCCTCCTTTAGTCATTTATTTTTGAAACTTATGGCAGCTGTCCCCTCCGATTGTCCAGGTGTTACCTCCGTGCTCTTTCCGTATTAATCTTGGGACTATCGGCTTCCAATACTAGTGGCGTTAACTATTGACTTCATTTAAGGGCTGAGGCATTCTAAAAGATGTTGCGAAAGCTTTTCAAACCTTTTCAATTGCGCATCTGGTCACATTGGCGCAGAAAATGGACATTATGATGATAGTCGTTGTTCTTTCTTTTGAGCTGTGTATGACGATGATGCCGACAAAACTTCATGCGCACTTCTCAACACACGCTACGTCTTCCATTCTCGCAGTCACTCTACTCTGTTGGTCTTTTGGTGATTTTCCCCACGTTCAACGTACACCGGCGCTGCTGAGGTGCTTTCCTTTGTTCTTCGAACAAAAACACATCAATCCACCTCACCTTGTAGCGCCTCAGTTATTCCACTGTCTTTTATATCTTCGCACATTCGTGGTTTGCCGCCATGTTTCGAGAGCGCCTTATTGACTTCTACAGGAAGCACAATCCTGCTTGTTTAGATTCGATAGATGACATTTTAAAAATCTTTGATGGGAGGGAAGAGGAGCTTTTCCGCGTGTTAGAGGAAAAGTACGCTGATATACATCGTGGTTCTCAGAAATTACTGAGCTCCAGCACGCTGACGAATGCACTTCTTATTGGCGACAACTCATCCTGTGGAGGTAGTGCTCAGCAGTCACCATATGCCGAAAATAGAACGTTTAACTCGAAACTGGATTCGCAAGGTCGCCGTGATTTTGGGGCTACAAAACTAGCTGAGCAGCATAGCGTCTATTGTAGCGATGCAAACGAATCTACAGTTTTGGGGTGTCTCAAGGAAAACGGAACCTATCCTCGCGCGAAAGGACGTTCAATTTTGACAGATGATGCGCATAATCTTTATTCCCTTCGCAAGGAATGCGATCAACTAAAAACCAGCAATTACGCCTTGCGTTGTGACGTTCTTGTTTTGCAAGCGGAAAATGAAGCCTTAACTCGTCAAAGAAAAGACGATGAAGAGACAATGGAGAAGTTGCGTGCGCACATAGATTATCACGACAAAATAGAGCACGCGTTAGTTGGAAAAGTTGCTGCAAGTGAGTTACGTGGTAAAGCCGTTCTCAGTGAAGACGAGTTTGCCTCTATCATCAGCGCGAGTCAAGATCGATTAAGTAACTACTACGAAGAGAAGATCTCGTTCATGCAGATGGAAATCAACATGTTCTACAAGCACGCAGCAGAGCGGGTCAAGGAAAAGGACGCCATTATCACCGCGCTGAAACAGCTGCTGTCACAGTGTTGATATCTCGTTTGTGTTAATTATTCTTTTGTTGTATCGAAGAGGAAAAGATGAAAGTGAGGGTGGCCTTGTTGCCTGTTCTCGAATAATAGTACCTTTGGTGGATTGTAAAATGTGTCTTTTCGTTCTTCTCTGCAGTATTAACAACCGCAATCCCGTACTTGCTGATGCTTGATTGACAACGAGATGCTCTCAACTATATGTTTCAAAAAAACAGACTTACCTCAGTTTTGACAGTGCTTTTAATTTTTTTTTGGATTATACGCTCTATGATGCCTCTTCATCCCTTCGTTTGTTTTACTCTCTGTGTGTCTCCTCTGTTGGTCTTTTCCGTGTTTAGTTCTTATCACAGCACTATTATGAGGCAACGGCATATTGTTCACGATGAGGAAACGGACGTTGTGCCTGTCTCCAGACCGATCGCGCGTCGTTTGGCTGAAGCTGACCTTTTCCCCAAACCCCGTGAAGATTATCAGCGGAAACAGACAAAGTACGGCGCTGTTGTGAGTCTGGTTACCATCGTTATCATGACTCTTCTCGTCCTGTGGGAAGGGATCGCGTATTTGCGTGGCCGCGATGCCTACGACACCGATGTGACAATTGACGCCAGTTCATCAGATGACATGCAGGTGAATCTCGACGTTCTTTTTCCGAACCTGCCTTGCAACAGGCTGAGCATCGACGTGATTGATGCAACAGGCACGTGGCAATTTGACTATTCCGGTGCCGTGCATAAACTCCCCTGTGGAATCGATAGGTTGTCGATGTACAAAGGTAACCAACAGGATCTTGAATTGGCAGGCGCGAATCAAAAGAACAAAGAAGGCAAGATGTGCAAAAAATGTCCTTCGGCGCTTTTTCGTGAGTTTCCCGAAAGCTGGCGCGCCTCTTTGCAGTCGATATGCTGCAACACTTGCGAGAGCGTCCTGGCGATTTTTAATGAAACTGGAAAGCCTGCACCAAATATAGAATACATCCCGCAGTGTCTAGAGCAGCTTTCCGTGCGTGGTCGTGGGTGTAATGTGGTTGGATCGCTGGACCTGAAAAAGGTGCCAGTGACGGTAGTTTTAGGACCGCGCCGTACTGGAGCCAAATACGCTTTCCACGACTTTATCCGACTTGATACCTCTCACAAAATTAACAAACTCCGCATTGGTAATGAAAGCGTGGAACGTTTCTCAGAGAACGGCATTGCGGAGCCACTGACAGGTCATGAATCTTTTGCCACGACCTATTTGGAGACCCGCTATTATGTGAAAGTTGTGCCGACAACATATCGAACAAAAAAGTCGCAAGACCTAAAAGCGTCAACTTATGAGTACAGCGCGCAGTGGAGTAGTCGACCCATCATTCCAGGAATGAGTGGTCAAGTTCCTGCGGTGTTGATCAGCTTTGAGCCGTCGGCCTTACAAGTCAACAACATTTTTCAACGGCCACCGTTCACCCATTTCCTTGTGCAGCTGTGCGGCATCGTGGGCGGCATCTTTGTCATTTTGGGCTTCCTCGATCGATGTGTCGAGTGGTGCGTTACGCACATGAGCAGCACCTGATTTTTGTTTGTTTGCTTTTCTGCCTGTTTGTTTAGCGGCAAGTGTAGGTATCAGGCACACTTCGTCCTGTAGCAGTTTTAGGAGACTTTGATTGTTGATTGCTGTTTCAGTTGTTGCATTCCACCATCTGGCAGATATTCTACGGTACGAGTGAAGTGAAGCTGTTTTTCTCCATTTGTCACATTCATGGCCTTTTTTTTTAACTCTCGAAGCAACATTAGTTGTGGATGATAACACATTTGTGTATTGTGCGCGCAAAAAAAAATATCATCGACGGGTTACTACCTGTTTAAATTCTTTTAGCAATACCGCAAACAGCGCATCAGCAGAAACTTCACGAGGCCCTCGTACTGAAGAGAGGAAGTGCAAAGCTCTACTCTTTTACTACTTGTTCTGATTTTAGCTTTCCTTCACCTCCCACATCACTTCTCTTCTTTTGTTATCTGGTTCTAAATTTATACGTGCCTTTTGAAGTCTCCACGGGACAGTAGTATTACGCAAAACTAGTTATTATTAGTATTTCATTATTATTATTATTATTTATTTATTCATCTGCGCTACGTAGTGATCATCTTTTCCTTTCGCAACTAAAATGCTCCGTTCTCGCGTTCTACGGAGCGTGACTGTCGGCCCCGCAAAGATGCCGGAAACGCTGCCGCCGTGGGCTATCAAAAAGCGTACTTATCTGAGTCTGGTCCTCGACCGCTGGGCCGTCAAGCTTCAGCGTGTGGCAACGCAGGTGATTAAGGTGAGCGACCGTCTCATGAGCGTGCAGCCAAAAGAAGAGCTGTACCGTATTCCACGTCTTCTCAAGGTGAACGGTAAACGTCCTTCTGTGATGGACAACTGCTTTATCGCCCCAAGTGCGATAGTTACTGGGGACGTAAATATTGGCCGCAAGAACTACATCGGCTACAACGCCATTATCCGCGCTGAGGAGGGCGAGAGCATTCACCTTGGCGAGAGCTGCAACGTCCAGGAGAAGGCTGTGGTCACCGGAAACACGACAGTGGGCAAATGGACGACGATCGAACCGATGGCTATAGTGGAGTCCGCTGACATTGCATCCTGCTCATTTGTAGGCGCGAATGCCATTGTGATGAAGGGCTGTAGCATTGAGTCTGGCTCAATGCTGTGTGCCGCGAGTGTTTTGCAAGCTGGTGCTGTGATACCTTCTGGTGAGATGTGGGCTGGAAATCCGGCGCAAAAGGTGGCTGACCTCACCGAGAAGGAGAAGGAGGACATCATTAAGGCCGCAAAGCATTCTGTTCTCCTCGCCATTGAGCACCACGATTCGTGGGAGCTCACGTGGGAAGAAGTCGAAGACCAGCGTGACGCACGCGAGCTTTTTGCCCGGTATGCTGAGAGCAACCGCGAGGTGCGCATCAAGGCAATGTACATTAAGGAGCCTCCGCGTCCGAACCGCAAGAAGATGGGCCGCATGACGCCGCAGGAACTCTCTAACGGCTCCGAGAATGTCCCAGCGATGACGGAAAGCATTATCGGCGGGCATTGAACTAGCAGACATTGTTACTTTCTTGTTGCTGCTGCTGCTCGTAGTGATTGCACGAATAGCTTGTGTTGCTATTTGTTGCTTGACCGCTAATATTTCATTTACGTTTTATCGTTGCTACTACTTTTTTTAAGTCTTGTGTGATGCTTTAAAAAATGTTTCCTTTTTTTTGGCCTATCAGTACGTATATAGCAGTAGTGCATCTTTCATCGGAATTGCTTGTAGCGATGGAGACGCGGATAATCTCATGGAATGTCCGTGTTTGTATCTTAACCTGTTTGCATATCGTAGTATGACGAAAGGTGATTGATGTACCTTAAAAACAAACTAACAACGATCTTGCTAGCACTATTGTCATTTAAAAGGCGTTGCTCCTCTTCGAGAGCATTGCGCCCCGCGAGACAGTGTTTTACCAACTTTGCCCTGCCGTCGCACAATTTACGTTGTAAAGGACTAACGTCGCTTTTTTTTTTCTTCTTCTCTTCGCTTTCGCTGACTCTCGTCAATATCGCTTTCCATTGGCTTCCCCTCTGTTTCCTACTCTTACTTTCTTCTTCTTCTTTTCTCGCACCTCAATATGCAGTCTCCCAGTATTATGCATATTTGCTTTCTCGGGTGTAAGCAAACTTGACAGGCCGCTGTTTGCTTCCTCCTTTGCGTCACTTTGTGGCTGCCGCTTCTTCATTCTGTTCGTTTCCTTCAAAGCTGTCCCTTCTAATGGAATCGATCATCTCGTGTGACAACATCCACAAGACGTACCTCATCGGCGTTGAGGGCGTACCTGCGCTGCGCGGCGTGGATGTGGATATCAATCAGGGCGAGCTGCTCGTGGTGTATGGCACCAGCGGTGGAGGCAAGAGTACTCTTCTCAACGTTCTTGGCACGATCGACACTCCGACAAAGGGAAATTTCTTCCTATTCGGAAACCGTGTAACGGACCAAACGCCAGATTCTGAGCTTGCTGCGCTGCGGTGCAAGCGAATAGGCTTTGTCTTTCAGTCGTTCAACCTCATCTCAACCATGGATGCTATTGAGAACGTGTCTCTTCCGATGATGATCAAAGGGACGTTGTCCAGCTCCGAAATCAAGAAACGCGCAGCGGCATTGTTGGAAGAAGTAGGACTCGGTCACCGACTTCATCATCTTCCTTCGATGTTGTCCGGTGGTGAGCAGCAACGCGTCACCATCGCGCGAGCCCTCGCTAACGAGCCGGAGATTCTCTTTCTGGATGAGCCGACGGGTGATCTTGATACGAAGAACACTCTCCTCATCATGAACATCTTGTTGAAACTCAACACGGAATGCGGGCTCACCATGGTGATGGTCTCCCACGACGTGTATATGAAGCAGTACGCGCATCGTGTCATCTATATCCGCGACGGAAAGGTTCACAACACCGAGACAGTTCACGAAGACGTTCGCCGACGAGCGTGGAGTGAGTTGCAGGACGCTCTCAATAAGGCACGTAGCGGCGTTGAAAACCAGAAAACTGCCATAAGCGTTCAGCGCAATCCACAGGATTACGCAACGTTCTCGGCACAGTGTCCGCTTAACCTAGACGAAGATCCTGACATGCAGCAGGTTGTGGACGTGCTTTTTGGACCACAGCTGTAGCGGAGTAGCCTGTTCTTCTTTCTCATTTTTTGTTTCCTGCTTACTGTAGCTAAACTCTTCTTCTTTTTTGACACGCACGATGGGAAGCCTTTTTGCTCTCCCTTCTAAGTGGCATTTGTGAGAATTTTTTCATAACCTTTTTTGCATTCTTTTTTGATTGCTTATACAACTCGTTTCAAACAGCTTTTAAAATGAAAAAATTGAGTGTCATATGTTTATTGCTGCTGATATTCGTCGTGATTTTCTTCTAATTGCTCAATACCCTTTTTAATAGAAAAAAATGTGCTGTAAATCAAGTAATAATTATAATAAAGGCTGTGAACTCTTCTCCATGCGTCAGCATTTGGCGTGTGAGTAGAGCGTGGCACCCACGAAAGCAGTGAAGCTTGCACTGCTGAACTCAGTAAATGTCGCAAATGTGGAATCGTGGTAAATGGGTTGCGAAGTTCGCCTCTAGCTTTGCATCCAGCGATGGCCTAATCATTCACGGTATGCAATGACGTGTCAAAAACGCGATTGTGTACGACACTTTTGCTCCTTTTTCCCCTCTCCCTTACTTGCTCTTCTTGACCATTGTCTCACAGGCACGGGTAGAGGAGCCTTTTTTGTTAGCCTGCTCAGCGCACTTTTCGGTAATGAAATGGAGGCTGTGCTCGACGTCAAAACGTGCCTGCGCTGCGGGGCGCCGTTCACTTTCCGTCTTTCTCGCTTCGGCTGCGTCTTCGCATGTCCGTGCGGAGAGCGCATTGATGCTGTTAAAGCAGCCGCTCTCTTCACAGAAAACCTCCGTACTCGCCGTCAATTCGCTGAGTTCATACCTATTATCTCGTCACCGCTGTGCGACCTCACCGACTCGTTGAAAGTGGCCGAGGTGGAAATGAACTGGGTTAAGAGCGAGTTTGTAGTGCAGTTCCGTAACTTCTCCGAGGCTGACGTGCTGCGGGTCAGCCACTGTTTTTCGCTTGCCCTGCGGGAACACATACAGTTAGCACAAACCACTGTTTCAGGACCGATGGACTTGGTAGACTCACTTGTGGATGAATTGCGCGAAGCTGCCGAAGAGCCGCAGTGCTTGTTCTTCGTGGATCCGCCAGCGACAGAATTGCGGAGTGCAGCGAATGAGATTGCCTCGTGCGGGGTGACCGAAAACTTACTCGACAACATCCCTGTGGAGCTCTTTCGAGCTCTCAAAATGCATCAACTGGAAGGCGTCAAGAAGGCGTTGCAGCTGAAAGGGAGGGTCTTATTTGCAGACGACATGGGCGTCGGAAAGACTCTCCAAGCCGTTGCGACGGTGGCAGCGTTGGAAGCTTTCCCGTTGCTCATCGTGTGCCCATCCGCCGTTAAATTTATGTGGGCGGATCAAATCGAGCAGTACCTGCACGAGCAAGTGCGGGTGGATGAAATCCACATCATCAACGGTGCGAACGACACTCTGGATTGCAGCACGCAGCCAAAGGTCGTCTTAACCAGCTACCACATGGCAGCGGTGCTGGAGCGCCAGTTGCTCCGCAGAGACTGGAAATGCGTGGTGTGCGACGAGAGCCACGTTCTACACACCAACGCCAGCGGCAGCGACGCTATGTATACGCGAGCGGTGACGGCGATGGGAAAGCAGGCTCCGTACTGCCTGCTGCTTTCTGGGACGCCAGCTCTTAGCTCGCCCTTTGACATGTACAACCAAATTGACATGTTGCGTCCCGGCTTGCTGGGTCCGACGCGCTTTCATTTTGCAATGCGTTACTGCCACATTACGTTATCGCCGTTTTTGCGGGTGGGTGAATCTTCGAGACCGACCGAGGTGTCCTCGTTGCTGTCATCCTGTTGCATGATCCGGCGTCTCAAGAGCGACGTTTTGGAGTTGCCGGTGAAGACCCGCGTGGTGTTGCGTGTCGCAGATCATCCTTCTTTTGATGCGCGTCGTGGCGGCGCATCTGGTGAGGCAACTTATCAGGCGCGGTATGCGTCAAGCTGGAAAATGAAGTGGAGTGGCATTGTCGAGGCCGTCGACTACTGCTGCGCGAAGTACGACCGTGTGGTTCTCCTGGCGCATCACATTGAGCTCATTGACGCCCTGGTCAAACTCCTTCAACGACGCAGCAAGTCGATCGTCCGAATCGATGGGCGGGTGCCTGCACCGCAGCGCGGGAATCTTCTTGAGAAGTTCCACGCAGGAGAAGCGCGGCTTGCTGTGGTCGGCATTACGGCGTGCGCCGTTGGCATTTCGCTGGCGCCGGCGTCCTGTGCCGTTTTTTGTGAGCTACCACCGGACGCAGTTTGGATGACGCAAGCGGAGGACCGCCTGCACCGGCCGGGACAAGCAAACGAGGTGATAATTTACTACCTTTTGGGTGTGCACTCGGAATTCGACGCAGAGTTGTTTGCTCGCTTGTGCCGCAACTTGCGCGAGGTTGGAAGCGTGGTCTCGCAGGACGGCGACGGTAAGCTGGTCCTGTCCCAGGCAAGTCACGAAGCCCGCTCGTGCCTAGGCACCGCCCAACTACGCACTGCCCTTTTAACACACGCACCTCACGACGCGCATCTCGTCGAGGAGCCCCTCCTGTTCTCCATCAGCAAGAACACCGGTCGCGTACACATTCGCGCCTGCGACGCTGCCGCCTTTTACACCACTTTGCTGTGGAATGAGGCAAATGAGTGCGTGCGGCAGCGGCAGTCGCCCATTTGGAAGCAGCTGGACACCTTCCTCACCTCCTTCACGAGCCTCACACCCTTCCAGCAGCGACAGATGTGCCTCGGCGACGACTGGCTTCCTGCTCTGTTTAATTGGAAAACGAAATACCTCGATGTTGGGCATGTGAAACGCTTACGGTATGCAAAAGCAAACATGATTGGGTGGGGAATTTGGTGGGAGGTGCGACGGCAGTACTTTTCCAAGCACTACTATTACTTCGGGCCCTTGCAGTACGTCGAGGACGCGTACAAGGTTTGCTGCCTGAATTGTGAAAAGTACGTGTTGGACTTCAACACCCAAAGCGAGATGCTGCTTCCTGGCGCAGTGTGTCGTGTTAACGGCGACACGGAACTCTTCTGCAGCGGGAAGTGCCGCGAGAACTTTTACTTTAAGCGTTCCAGCTCTGCGATCCGTCGCACTGTCGCTTCTGTCGACAAGAGCGTCTGTGCATACTGCCACGTGGATTGCGAAGCTCTCTGCATCGCGCTCGCCTCTGCCGCCAGAAAACAGCGTCGCCTCAAAATTATACGAAGACTTCATCCGCACCTGTTGCAGTACCCCGCTCTCTACGAAAGAATCATCGCCCATCCCGAGCCCGGTAATATCTGGCAGGCAGATCACATTACACCTGTTGCCAGCGGCGGTGGCGAAGCCTCGCTGGACAACGTTCAAACGCTTTGCATTCTTTGTCACACACTGAAAACAAAGGAAGATGTGAAGCACATGAAGCAATACGAAGCTGAAGTTTCCCCATCTGCTGCGGTCTCTGCTACCACCGTGAGCGCTGCAGTTATGCGCTGTTCTTCGCCTGTCCACAAAACACGTGTGTCGCGACGGAGACTGTCGCGGCCGCCGTAAAATGGTATCGCAGCGTGGCGCTTCATGGTGCGCAGCTCGCCGGTTGTTTTTCTATGATCTGCTGCATTGTATCGAACAATGAGATTTCTGATTTCTTCTTTTCAGTATGCTTTGCGTGTATGTGTGTGTGTGTCATGCTCATGGCAACACATTTCAGCTGGACTTCCTTGTCCCTCCTCACAAAAGAATTGAACACCTGTGGAAATAAAAACACGAAAGGTGTGCCAAGCGCTTCGCCGAACAAAACAAGAAGAGAAAGATCGAAAGAAACGTGTGAACTGTGAAGACTCCTTCACAGATTCCTCAAAGAAAACACATTACTCTCTTCGGCCACCTGCAAAAACGCGCCATGTTGTGGAAAAAGACGCTCATCTTTTGTTTTCTAATTCATCTCCCCTTCTTCTTGCTTCTCTTCGTTCTCTTGGCTCATTCAGTAAGCAGCAACAGAAAAAGCCGCGAACATTTGTCTTTCCCCCTCTTTGTAGCTCACTGTTTGGGGTATGTTCGACTCGAGGCTGCCACCAGCAGATCGCTGAATTCGTTCTTGCCACACACATTTTTCTAGCAGAAATTAATGGCCAAAAAGAAAAACGAGTGCTTTTCATGCACGTTAGTAGAAGAGTACGACACGAGCAACAATGAGGAAGTAAAAGATGAAATTGACGTCGTCGTGAACACGTACGATAACGTGCGCGTGTCGGGAAAGAGCTCGGCGCACTGCAAGGTGTACATCCCTCTCGTTTCTGAATCGTGCCCAACTCGGCGCGTTACGCTCGAGATCCGCGTGGTTCCTGGATACCCGTACGTGGCGCCAGCGATTCGTCTTTCGTTTCCACTTGGAGTTCACCCCGGCGACGAGGGGACGCTGTCCGAGTACGAGGTGAAGCAAATGGCAAAGGAAGTATCAGACAACATTCAGCTGTGCTTGCCCATTGGTATGCCGTGCATGATGCAGATTGTCTCCACCGTGTCCGCCATTGTAGAGAGCGGCATCGACAAGCCGCAGCCGCAGCCTCAGCGCCTCAACGGAACGTCGCAAGGTGAGCAAAGCCTGATCAGTTCGGGCCAGTCCCCGTCGCTCACGCCGGTGCCGCTCAAGGCCAGGGAGGCGCTGAAGCTGAGCATGCTCACTTTCCACCTCATGAAGAAGTGCTGCGACTTGAAGGACCCTGAGTCGATGGAGGAGGCGAAGAGCAACTTCGACTTTCTCATCAAGTACCTTTTGGATACAGTGGCTGTCTTTCCTGAGGCTGCGAGGGCCTTCTTTCCGTGGAATGGTTTGTCGTTTGCAAAGGCGTTCTCTTCTAACATGGATGGCATCGTGTCACTGCCTCTCGACCAGCAAGAGGTGGCGAAGTGGTTTTGGGAGGACGAAGGTCGGAATTTCCGCCCACAGCAAGGTTCTGAAGGCCGGTATCGGAACGAGTTTATTCAGCAGCGACTACTGGGTGCTGGCGGCTTTGCACCCGTTTACGTGTGCCGGAAGAAAATTGACGGCCGACTGTACGCCATCAAGAAGGTAGCCATGACCGAAACGCAGTCAGAGAAAGTACTGCGCGAAGTCCAAACGCTGGCGTCGCTCAACCACAAGAACATCGTCCGTTACTACGATGCGTGGGTAGAGGATGGGTGCGATGAAGAGCTCCGCAACTTTGTCGACGAAGAAGCGGAAGAAGAAGAGACCGCCGAGGAGGGAGAAGTCGACGGCAGCGACAACGAAAAGCCCGGAAATGCCACGTCACACCGCATGCGGACGATCATCTGCGCCTCTTCCTCTGATTCCGACTCGGTGAGTTCCCGCTCATCGCGCACTTCCACGTCATCGGAGGAGGAGAGCGCATTTGATACGAGCAGTGGCGACGATGACGATGACGACACCAACAGCACGTGCAGCAGCGCCACAGACATCAACTCCGCAGCGCGGGCGCGCCGCCCGGACGCTAAAAAAAGAAAATCAGCCACACATTACCAGACGCTGTACATCCAGATGGAGCTGTGTTCCGCGCGCTCCTTGCGCCACCTCATCGAAGAGAGCGACTCGTGCGGATCGGGTGGGATCTTCGCCTCCGCCAATGGTGAGAAGGTAGCGGTCTCCATCTTGCGGCAACTCCTCTCTGTCACGGCGCACACGCATCGCGAGCGCGTCGTTCATCGCGACTTGAAACCGGACAACGTTTTGTTTGAGATGGGGTCGAGCCACAGCGGCGATGAGGCGGGTACAATCCGCGTAGCAGACTTTGGTCTTGCGCGGGTGATGAGTGGGGTGAAGCGGGTGACGAGTGTGCTGGACGTGGAAGAGATGAACAGTTTGACCGACGCCATTGCTGCGAACCAGCCTACTGGCAACTGCGGCTCCGTGCTGTATTGTGCCCCAGAGCAAGAGAAAGGTCTCGAGTACGACTTCAAGGTGGACGAGTTCAGCATCGGCATGATCGCGTTGGAGATGTGGCTCGCCATTGCGGGCAAAGGATTTCGTGAACGCTTCACCATCATGAACGAGGTGTGGCGTACGGGCAAACTGCCTAGTTGGTTCGTGTCGTGGAATCCGAACATGTCCAACATCATCGAACTGCTGCTGCAGCCGGACCCCCGACTGCGCATGACGTGCGAGGCGGTCTTGAGCACGGCCGAGCTCCCTGGTGACCCCGTCGACATCGTCAGCGCGCTAGAGACCGTCGATCGCTATGGAGAGCGCATTGCTGGACGAATGATTCAAAAGATTGTGCGTTCCGGGGCCGAATTTCGGAAGCCGTCGATAGTCGTGCGTGATGACACGCGCTTCCTCGGCTCAACGACGTGCACCGATTTAGTGCAGGCCGTGAACGTGGTCGGGATGTTGCACGGCGCCGTTCCCGTGGCAGTCTTCGACCACATCGTGCCCATGAATCCAAAGCTTGTGGACATGAACGTGGATTGTATCGTGGATAGCAGCGGCCGCAGTTTTGCCTATGCAAAGCTTCCGCATTTCGCCGTGGCGTCGTTTCTCGGGATGCAGGAGAACGCAGCGATTGGCTCCTTCTACCAGTTCTACCACCGCACCCAACCATACGTATCGTTCACCACCCCGTTACTGCGGCACGACGTGGTCAACGAGCTCACCTTTGAGCCGCTGCTCTCGCTCTGTCACCTGCTCTCCCTCATGGACCTCGCAGAGCCGATAGAAGTGATTGTGTCACACGCACAGTGGCTGCAGACGGTGTTCCCGACTGAGGTCGGCACGCGGCCACCCCCGGCGAAGCTGAGCAAGTTGCAAAGCAGAATACAAACCACAGATCAAGTTGGACAGGCCATCTCACACATCACCGAAAATCTCTTCACTGCTGGTCTGGTTGCATCGGATGAGCGGGATGAATTCATTAGAAAGTACACCACTGCGCTGCTGGACATCCTGAACCTGTTTGAGATGCATATGAACGTGCACTTGCAGCTTTATCTCGACCCTGCGTTGCACCCGAGCGACGCACTGGTGGCGCAGAAGGCGTTAGAGACCGGAATCTTATTTGAATGCCGGTACGCACACGACGCAGTGCCGCTCGCCTTTGGTTGCGCCTTGGACAACTTTACAGCGAAGTGCGCCGTTGCCAATCCAGACATCTCGGCCTTTAACGTTGTGGTCCACGTTCGAAATCTTCTGACGGTCAGCAAGCACGTCCAAATGCCATGGCGGGAAAATTTGGTGCTGGATGGCGTAGCGGCAAAGCGGCACGATTTGTACGCGCAGACTCTCATGCCGTACATGATCGAGGCAGCCATGCAACTGTGGAAGGGGAACATTCGAGCGTGCATTCGAAGAGACACCGATGCGCATGCGCTGATGCGCGCGCTAAAGCAGAAGCGAATCCGCTGGTTACTCGTCGACGGCAAGCGTATTGTGTCAGCGTCAACTAATCAGCAGAGCAAAAGCACGGGACGATCGGCGGACATCGCGCTGGACGAGCTGCGCCAGGCGGTGCGCGACCTCTCCGCGAGCGAGAGGGCTGCTCCGCCTTCCGACACCAAGGTGAAATTCCTCGTGATGAAGGAAGACAGCTTCACGGAGAACAAAGCCGTCGCCGTGTACGATGCCATGACAACATCACTTCCGAAGTGCGTTGTCATCGTGGACGCCGGTAGCGATACGATTCAGCGCTGCATCGATCAGTTTAATGAGTTCGCCAGCGACGCGTCAGCAGACACGTTTGCAGTCCCGGCGCTGGCTCAGTGGCTGAAAGCAAACGCCACGACGTCTCCCGTTGCGCCCATCTTTTCTGTGCCCGACGGTAGAATTGTGTACTTTATCAACTACAAGCGCTTCAAGGTGTCCCTCGTGAACAAAAAAGACAAGCAGCGCAAAAAGAAGTAAGATGTGTGGTGTGTAGAAAACCATAATAGGAGGGGAACGTCTGAATGCTGAATCGAATGAGAAAGTTTCAGAGGCCTTTCCGATTCTATCAGTCCCTCGTCTTTCCTTGCGTTGTCATGGAGAAGAGCTGTCGTTTCATGTTGTAACGTAAAAGCTTCCGCTCTATTTCCTTTCCCCTGACTTTTTTTTTGTAGTTTGGTGTTTGCGTCGCTGCTCTTTCATTGTCCGCTATTCGGCAAGACCGTCGGGTATTTGTCGGTTTCTCTTCCGTTGCCGATGTTGCGTTTCGTTTCTTCTTTTTACAAAGAAATGGCATTTATGGAATGCATGTGGGGTCCTTTTTCTTTCCTTCCCACTTCTCTTTTTGTATGACACGCTTATGTGTCGGAAGACACGTGCTGCTTTACTCGTAATTGATACCTGGTGGAATCGATCAAATTTCATTCTTACATTTCCTTGTCTCCGTGTTGTTCATCATTATTTTTGTTTTCGCTTCTCCATGCCCATGTACTGCACAAGTGCTTCTTAACGCTCCCCTGAGTTCTGAAAATACCCTATCGGATTTATTGATGGCAACCGAGAAGACAGTACAGCAATAATTGGAGAACCTTTGCCGACCTCAACGAAGTTGGCTTTGTTGCTCGGCTTTATAAGGATTTCATTGGGGGGGGGGGGGGCGGGAGGGATGAGCAGCGCACACCGCTTTTCATTGTGTGTTTTCTCTTTTCATTCAAGTACAAAGTGAACCTGGAGGTCGAATTAGAGTCCCACGTGATGGCAGAGTTGTTGTCGCCTTTTTCTCATTTAATCGGGTGCTCTTTTCGGAGGTATGCTGACCGTCTCTGTTTCTGCATCAACTTCTATCCTCCCATACCCTCCTCGTTCTTTTCATAAAACCCTTGTCATGCTGATACCGCCAAACATCAAGAACGCCAACAAAGGACTCTGTTGTTTTGTAGTGCCTCCCCCACCCCTCCCCCGTCAGCGCTGTCAACTTGTGCTTTGACGTAGTGGAAAAGGAGCTTTGTACGCTTTTATTTTTCTCTCATTCTGTTATCGAAGAAATCAATAACATCACTTAATTGGCGAAGTGGCAAGCAAGGCAATCGATCCTCTTTCGCTCATCTGGAAGCCACGCGTTGGCGTCTGTTCTGCTCACATCGCACCATCGTCAAGGAGGGAGACTTTGCGTAAAGGCTGTGTAAGCGACGCCGAACAACAACAACGACAATTATGGATCGCTTCTTTAAAAAGGCCTCGTCCTCTGAGGCGGCGCAAGCAAAAGAGGAGGTGGAACTGATGCAGCAGAAAGTTAAAACCATGGGCGATGTAGTCGCTGCGCTGGAGTCGCAGCTCAACGAGGAGAAGAGCAAATACACGCAGCTGACGAGCAAGACAACGCAGTGGAAGGAAAAGGTGAAGGCACTCACAGAGGCGGATCGCTCTCGTATTGCGCAATTGGAAGCGGAGCTGAGCGTTTTTCAGGCAGCACAGGAAGCGAATGGGGGCGTCGTGACTCCGGAAGTTCAAGCCGCCATCCACGACGCGTTGCAGAGCGCGTCCGCGAACAACGCTTCGGCAACGGCCGGGTACAAGGAAACTATTTCTTCTCTGAAGAACACCGTTGCTACCAAAGATGCGCAAATCGAGGAACTCCAGCAAGAACTGGAAACCGTGAAGGCGGTCTATCTGGAAACCCAAGTGCGGTTTGCGGAAGAGGTGCAGTCTGCCACGGAGCACCACGAAACAGAAATGAACGAGATGCGTATTCAATTAGCGTCGTTGAAGGAGATGGAGACTCTGAAGGTTCGGCTACAAGAGCAAAGAGAGGAAATTGCTTCGTTGGAGAACCACTCTCATCAGCAGTCGCACATTGTAGTTGTTCTCCAGCAAGAATTGGACACGGCGACAGGGCATAATAAAGATTTGGAACAGCAGTTGCAAAGCTTGCGCGAGTCCCTTTCAACATTGGAGCAGAAGCAGTCCGTCTGGAAGGAGAAGGTGATGCAGATGAAGGCCAAAGATAATGACACGATCAAGCAACTGGAAACCGAACTCGCCCAGTCACGGGAGTCTTCTGTTGCCCGTCAGCAGCCAATCACTGTGTCTTCTGACGCTGTCGTTGGGCATTCAGGTGCTGGAGCGTCTCCAACGGACGCATCTATGCGCCACGCAGAACACAGCGACTCATCGTCGCAGCCACAGGACCAGCTTCAGCAACTCCAGATCCAGCTCGACGAGGAGCGCCTAACTCACCGGCAATTCGAAGAGAAGTTAGACACTTGGAAACAGAAAGCAAAGCAAATCCGTTTCCAAGATGCTCAGACGATCACTGAGCTGCAAAACCAATGCGACCACCTCCAGCAGCAGCTCACTGCCCAGCGACAGCAACAGCCTTCAAGTGGTGGCCCAGCTTTAAATCCTGTCACTGAGTTCGTCGAGTCACCTCTCGGGAGTCGAGTAAACCTACAGCTTGTAAACGTGCAGAACGAGCTCAACGCAGCACAACATTCACGAGATGAGATGGAAGAGGAACTTCGAAAACACGCTGGAGAA